AGACCCATTCAACTTCAGCTTCTTTGGCATTAGTGGTTGGGGCATAGACTTGGATTGTTGCCTTGGAAACCGAACAGAGATCATTCTATCATTTTTGAGACTGCAACCAAGTACTGCATTTCAGACTCTTTTGTTGACTATGAGGGCTACTCCATTTCTTCTAACGGATTCTTGCCCACAGTTGTAGATATAATGGTCATATGAGTTAAATTCGCCTATTCCAGTCCGTTTTAGTTCACTGATACCTAAAATGTTGATGTTCACTCTTGTCATCTCCTGTTTGACCACTTCCAATTTACCGTGATTCGTGGACCTAACATTCCAGGTTCCTAAGCAATATCATTCTTTACAGCATCACACTTTACTTCCATCACCAGTCAAATCCACAACTGGGCGTTGTTTTCACTTTGGCTCAGCCTCTTCATTCTTTCTGGAGCAATTTCCCTGCTCTTCCGCAGTAGTATATTGGGCATCTACTGATCTGGGGAGTTCACCTTTCAGTGTCATATCTTCTTGCATTTTCATACTGTTCATGCGGTTCTCAAGGCAAGAATACTGAACTGGTTTGCCATTCCCTTCTCCAGTGGACCATGTTTTGTCAGAACTCTGCACCATGACCCGGCCGTCTTGGGTGGCCCTACCCGGTATGACTCATAGTTTCATTAAGTTAGTCAAGGCTGTGGTCCTTGTGGTCAGTTTGATTAGTTTTCTGTGATTGTGGTTTTCATTCTGTCTGCCCTCTAATAGATAAAGATTAAGAGGCTAATGGAGAAAAGTTATGACAAACCTAGACATCATATTAAAAAGCAGAGACGTTACTTTACTGACTAAGGTCTGTCTAGTCAAAGCTGTGCTTTTTCCACTAGTCATGTATGGATATGAGGTTGGACCATAAAGCTGAGAGCCAAAGAATTGATGGTTTTGAACTGTGATGTTGCAGAATACTCTTGAGAATCCTATGGACAGCAAGATCAAACCAGTCAAATCTAAAGGAAATCAGTCCTGAATATTTATTTGAAGGACTGATGCTGGAGCAGGAAACTCCAATACTTTGCCACCTGATGCAAGGAGCTGACTCATTGGGAAAGACCCTGATGCTGGAAAAGATTGAAGGCAGGAGGAGACGGGGGCAGCAGAGGTTAAGGTGGTTGGATGGTATCACCGACTTGATGAATGGGAATTTGAGTAAGCTCTGGGAATTGGTGATGTACAGGGAGGGAGGCCTGGCGTGCTGCAGTCCACGGGATCACAGAGTCAGGAATGACTGAGCAACTGAACTGATCGAGCAAGATGAGTTGTTTTGCCATGTAATCTTTAGCTCAGGCCTTAAAAAAAAAAAGTTTTATGTGACTAAATAAAGGAATGTGGGAAAAAAGTTTGTCCTTTTCTCCTTCTTGAGGGACCCAGGCCCCTTTCTCCTCCTTGAGGGCTCCAGACCCCTTCCTCCTTTTCTGGGACCCTGGACTCCTTATCAACCTACCCAGGAATTAACTCTCTCATTCCCCCCCTTTTCTTTCAGGAGAATATGGCTGCCAATGGAAAAGGGGTATTGCTCTCATTCTGGAGCTACTTATATGATTAAATATATGACTTCTTCAATGTATGGCAAAAACCACTACAATACTGTAAAGTAATTAGCCTCCAACTAATAAAAATAAATGAAAAAAAATAAATGTATGACTTCTGTGTGAACAGCCATTAATTCAGTGGACATGCACACATTATTTGGAAAATGACTGGGAAAATTATCACTTGATTGATAATAGCTATTTGGAAAGGTAGGATTGAATATAGTCCTCTAAAAGAGTTTGCTTTTACAATCCTGAGAAAGAATAGAACTGGAGGAATCAACCTGCCTGACTTCAGGCTCTACTACAAAGCCATAGTCATCAAGACAGTATGGAACTGACACAAAGACAGAAATATAGGTCAATGGAACAAAATACAAAGCCCAGAGATAAATCCACTTACCTACGGACACCTTATCTTCGACAAAGGAGGCAAGAACATACAATGGAAAAAAGACAAACTCTTTAACAAGTGGTACTGGGAAAACTGGTCAACCACTTGTAAAAGAATGAAACTAGAACACTTTCTAACACCATACACAAAAATAAACTCAAAATGGATTAAAAATCTAAATGTAAGACCAGAAACTATAAAACTCCTAGAGAAGAACATAGGCAAAACACTCTCTAACATAAATCACATCAAGATCCTCTATGACCCACCTTCCAGAATATTGGAAATATAAGCAAAAATAAACAAATTGGACCTAATTAAACTTCAAAAGCTTTTGCACAACAAAGGAAACTATAAGCAAGGTGAAAAGATAGCCTTCAGAATGGGAGAAAATAATAGCGAATGAAGCAACAGACAAAGGATTAATCTCAAAAATATACAAGCAACTCCTGCAGCTCAATTCCAGAAAAATAAATGACCCAATCAAAAAATGGGCCAAAGATCTAAACAGACATTTCTCGAAAGGAGACATACAGATGGCTAACAAACACATGAAAAGATGCTCAACATCACTCATTATCAAAGAAATGCAAAACCTCAATGAGGTACCATTACATGCCAGTCAGAATGGCTGCTATCCAAAAGTCTACAAGCAATAAATGCTGGAGAGGGTGTGGAGAAAAGGGAACACTCTTACATTGTTGGTGGGAATGCAAACTAGTACAGCCACTATGGAGAACAGTGTGGAGATTCCTTCAAAAACTGGAAATAGAACTGCCATATGACCCAGCAATCCCACTCCTGGGCATACACACTGAGGAAACCAGATCTGAAAGAGACACATGTACCCCAATGTTCATCGCAGCACTGTTTATAATAGCCAGGACATGGAAGCAACCTAGATGCCCATCAGCAGACGAATGGATAAGGAAGCTGTGGTACATATACACTATGGAATATTACTCAGCCATTAAAAAGAATTCATTTGAATCAGTTCTAATGAGGTGGATGAAACTGGAGCCCATTATACAGAGTGAAGTAAGCCAGAAAGATAAAGACCATTACAGTATACTAACACATATATATGGAATTTAGAGAGATGGTAACAATAACCCTATATGCAAAACAGAAAAAGAGACTCAGATGTACAAAACAGATTTTTGGACTCTGTGGGAGAAAGCGAGGGTGGGATGTTTCAAGAGAACAGCATCGAAACATGTATATTATCTAAGGTGAAACAGATCACCAGCCCAGGCTGGATGCATGAGACAAGTGCTTGGGCCTGGTGCACTGGGAAGACCCAGAGGAATCGGGTGGAGAGGGAGGTGTGAGGGGGGATCGGGATGGGGAATACATGTAAGTCCATGGCTGATTCATGTCAGTGTATGACAAAACCCACTACAATATTATAAAGTAATTAGCCTCCAACTAATAAAAATAAATGGAAAAAAATAAAAATAAAAATAAAAATTAATTAATTAAAAAAATAAAGAGAGAAAAATAAAAGAGTTTGCTTTTAATCAAGAACAAAGTCTCACAGAAGACTTGGTAAGCACAATAACTGCAGCTGTGGATCCTAGGGAGGCAGTGATCTTGGAAGAAATCCAGAAGACATACATGATTTAGCAGAAGCTCAAAACAGGCAGGAGGGTCAAGGGTCCCTGTCTCGGAAAGCCAGCATGCATTTTTGTGTTTGTTTTTTCCCCAATGGTTATGTTCTCATTAGTTAAAATGTAGAAGCTCTGTTTCATTTCTTTCTTATTCTTCTCCTTTGCTCTCCTTCATCCAGCGTAGAGGATGATTCAATGGCAGCTCAGTCCATAGTTACTAACCTCCCTTAAGCATATATTCCACCCCATGTTCCCATCAGAAAAAAAAAAAAAAATGCTGAGTGATTCCTGAGCAGCCTCATCAGCATCTTGACACTGTGTCCCTCTAGCTCCCGTGAAGACCCGGTGGAGAAGCTGCCCCATGCCTTGGCTGAGGAACAGGCTCTGGGTACCCTGAAGGTAAGCGCACCTGTCTTTATCTGGGATAAGAGTGTTCCTTCACTTCTTTATTTTTAATTTAGTTGAACACAGTTACAGAAATCTGACAATGTACATTATCGCTTATGTATACAATGCCTTGGATGGGGATATATTGGGGTAAAACTATTATTAACACAGACCTGATTCAAAAGGATATTTAAAAAGACAGCATCAGTTATTACATATAACAGTAGGTATTTTCCTCAGCAGAAACTTTTCCTCTTTGAATAAGAATTTTGTAACTGTTGATCAAATTGAAACTGAGAGCTCTTACATGAAATAGTCCAGGCTTTCCAACAGGGGAACACTCTGTTCTTTTGTAGGACCATTGACTTAAAGAGTTTTAGTTTTCTGAGGACAAAAACCACATCACAGAAGACTTAGTGCACAGAACACAGGATGGTAACACCCTCACACTCTTTTCTTCTCTCTAATCACAGGTACATGGAACAGCCAATAAAAACTGTCAATATTCAAGGATAATTCCTCTGCTGAGGAACAACCTAATTGATGAAGGTGGAGCTCTCTTGCCAGCTCTGGTTGGAGAGACACCCTGACCCTGGATCCCTACAGACGATGAGGGCTGGGGGTACAGAGCAAGAGATTGATCTCCCAGGAAAAAGCACTGGCCATGTTCCAGTGTCTTCAAAAGCAAATGCATCATTTAGATGGTTGAGATGTAAATGAGGGTGTTTGGAGGTGGGCATGTATTGAAACCACATAGAGTGATTGTGAATCTGCCTGTATGTGTATTTCCTCAGGAGATGTTTCCTCTTAAACAATAAACTTGTCAATTTTCTTTGCAAAAAGTCTCATCACCAATGTACACTGGGAAGGAGATTTGCTGGGAAGAATTTGTTCGTATACTGGAGAATCTACAAAGCAGGTAACTGACCATTGCGTATTCTGTCTGAGCTACATGCAGCAACAAAAAAGGAGGAAGCAACACAAGTTTCTGGTGAGAAAAGACACTTTATTGTTTCTCGGGTTGTCGGGAGGCCTCTGGGCTCACTGGTTTCCCCCAGAGCAGAGCTCCGCTCCGTGGCTGTGGTCGTGGTAGTCGGTGGCTATGTCCGCCAGCAAGGACAGGAACTCAGAAAAGTCAATCTGGTGGTCCTTATTCTTGTCTTTTTTATCAAAGATATTGGACAAGTAATCTCTGCCTCTTTTCTCCTGTGGGGAAAAAACACAAAACAAGACAATTTCAGCCCCACAAGAGTGATGAGCTGGGAGAAGAGGAAGAGGCAGAGACAGAGAAAAGAGGACCCAGCACAGCCCAAAGGTATCTGGTGTGGCATTGAGGAGGGGAGGTGTGGGATGAGGTGGGGGCACTGACATCGCCCTGCAGTTCAACAGAGAGTCCTTCCCCAAGTGTGAACTTGGATGGGAGATTCACATGGGGAGCAGGCTCTGCCCTGAGTTGCCCTGACCGGTGTGCTGATGGGTGGTCTCCAGCCCCAGGCCACCCCCTCAAAACCCCCTACGAGGCTGCACCTATCTAAGTTCTGCTCCAGGACTCAAATAAACTCTGTGCTGTGCTCAGTCTGTCTGACTCATTACGACTCCGTGAACTGTAGCCCACCAGGCTCATCTGTCCATGGAGATTCTCCAGGCAAGAATACTGGAGTGGGTAATCTATCCCTTCTCCAGGGGAACTTCCTGACCCAGGAATCAAACTGGGGTCTCCTGTATTACAGGCAGATTCTTTACCAGTTGAGGCACCAGGGAAGCCCCAAATCAGCCCTACTCATGTGTAAATATAACCGAATCACTGTGTGGCATACCTGAAACTAGCACAATATTATAACTATATTATATTATAACTATATTATATTATAACTATATACATATTATAACTATATTATCGACTATACTTCAATTAAATAAATAAATAATACATAAACTCCATCCTTGTCACCTTCAATCTAACCCTCCTCTCCTATTTTCTCTTTGGGCTCCAGGATCCTACATGCTCTGAGTTCCCTTTTCTTACTTACCCAACTTCTTTGTTACCTAGTAACCTCTTCTTTTTGTAATTCATTCAGAAAATTCTAATTGTCGAGTTAAATCAGGTCAGCATTGCAAGAGGAGGGGTTAAATTCTGTCAGTATGCATTTATACAGAAAACAACCGACTTGTTCCAGAGGTGAGAGGGATGGGGGAGAGGCAAGATAGGGGAAGGGGATTAACAGGTACAAACTACTAGGTATAAAAAAAAGAGAGAGATAAAAAAAAATGCAAAGTACAGCATAGAAAATATGGCCAATGTGTTATAATAACTTTGATGGAGTATAATCTATAAAAATATCAAATCACTATGTTGTACACGTGAACTAACACAACATTGTAAATCAAATATATTTCTAGATAAATAAGTAAAATTTTGTGTTTCTATTAAAAAAATTCTGCCAATGATGGAATTTCTGTCACCTTCCCTCTGATCTCAAGAACCCTGAGGGGAGCCTCAAGAGCCTCTCAAGATCTGAGCAGAAGAGTTTGAGTCTCATACAGAAGATGAGACAGGTGAGAGGGGACCCATCCACTGCCCTCCAGTTGTAGCGCTTTTTGACTACCTAATATCAACTACTTATATGCACACATTTTCCTACTTTGCCATATACCTCATCTCTTTACACCCCGATATAGGACAGGATAGGAAGTTCTGTGATGCACTTTTGCAGATGAGAATGTGAGGATCAGAGAATGAGAGTGACTGGTCCAAAGCCACCCAGGAAAGGATCCTCAGTCATGCCAGGACCCAGTCTCCATGGGGGACCAGATCCCCACTCACACAGGCACTGAGGAAGTTGGGGAAATTCTCCTTCAGCAGCTGCAGCAGGGCCTCCTTCTCGATGGTGTCATTGCGTCCTGAGTATTTGTGAAACAGCTCGATCAAGGCTGTAACGGCCTGCTCAAGCTGAGAGCCGCTCATCTTGGCTTCAAATAAGCTGCCAGAAGAAGAGGCAATGACCATTTGTATCCTCCCCCCAGGGGCGGGTCCCCAGGTTAGGACACCTGGGCGGGGACAGAGCAGCCAGTGAGGCGAGGCTCAGATGGGGCAGAAGAAACTGTGCTTCTCCACGTGGTGGGGGGAGTGGCCGAGGATCAGGAGGGTGTGACCGAGTGTGGGACCTGGGGCCCCGCAGCTCAGGGTGTGAGTAGGCGGAGGAGATCAGCAGACTCCACTGTGGTGAGGACCACAGCGTGTGGAAGCAGAGATGGGGGTCAGCCCCAGTGAGAAAACTGAGTCTGAGGTGGGACCCAGCAACCAGAGCCTTTGGGTGACCCCGCAGCCCAAACAGCAGCAAATCCACCTCCTCCAGGTTCAGCGTCAGGGGCAGACTCACGGGGGCGGAACAGTGTCATCTCTGCTCTGGTCTGAGCCTCCTGGGCTGCTTCAGGAAGACCCCCTAGAGGCCGCCCCGCCTCCAAGACCATAAGCAAGCTCTGCACGAGATGGGCAGAAACACAGCCCTGTCCTGAGCCCTGGGAGGGGTCTTCCTGGACCACCCCTGAGAGAGAAGGAGGGACTGGGGACCAGAGTCAGCCTGGGGTTTGGAATGAACAGAAGTAGATGCCCCAGTTCTAGGCTGTTGGGTGGAATGTGGGAGATGGGGGTCCTTCTGATTTTCTGTTACCGGGCACTATCTGCATCTCCAAGGCTTGGCCTCAGTAAAATAGAGAGAACGTCTGACCTCCCTAAGCAGCTTCTTCCCCCAGCAGTCAGAGGTCTGGGCTGCCCTGGACCCCAACCAGAGAAGCTGGACAGAGCAGCCCTCCCATCCCAGACTTTCCTAAGCAGCCAGGAGATGACCTGTGTCACGTGTGCAGTATCTAAGACAGACCCCACTGCCTTCTGAGGTAGAAGGACCCCCCTGTTCTGTCAGCAAGAGGACCCGCCCAAGGCCTCTGTCAGCGCGGCCGAGAGCAGCGCCCAGCCCTGTGTGCGGACGGCCCCTGAGCCTTTTCCTGCCGGGGGCCGGGGGGAGCGCTGGCTGATCAGCCTTTCGCCCGGGGGCGGGGGGGCAGGACGTCTCACCAGAGTAATGGTGAGCGGGGGTCCAGGCCTGGGGTTAAGGCTTTGGCTGGGGCTCCCACTCTCCTCAAGGGTGGGGTCGGTGGGATCTTTGACCTGATAAGCAGGTGAGTCCAGAGAAGGAAGAAAGCAAGAGGAGGGGGAGGGTCCTCAGCTCCCACTGGGCACGTGTCCACCAGAGCTTCACCGAGGAGCCGGTGGGGAAGCAGGGAGTGCTGGTCATCTTGCCGCACAGATGGGGCCTCAGCAGGGGTGAGGCACGCAGGCCTGTGGGCAGAGTCGGGACTGGACCACAGGCTCCCGCTTCCCCTCCCGGAGCTGCTTCCCGGCTCCTCCTAGAAAAGGGAGATAGGCCGGAGCAGACTTACCAGATCAGAGGAGACGTCACCAAGGAGGAGGACGAGTGAGGTGTGCGCTGGACAGAGACTGGTCCCTTTATAGGGCTCAGCCGGGCTCTTCCCGGGGCTGGGAGCCCTGCGGCTCTGTTCGCTCTCTGCCTCCTGGAGCATTGCCTCACTCAGGAGGGTGGGCCACACCCAGGAGGGTGTGCTCTGCCTTTCCCAACAGAACCCCAGGACACATTGCACCTCCCAGGATCTTCCCCTAGAGACTTCTCTGTCCCCTGCTTGATCTGGGGCCAGTGGGGTGTGTGGCAACAGGACAGGGATTAGAGTAGAGAAAACTGGGTTTCTGGACCTAAGAAAGGTGGAATTTTGGACACTGAAGGCAACAAGTTCTCCATTTTCGTTCACTTAGTCCTTCTACAAACTTGGTCTGAGTGTAATAACCACGATTTACTAAGAGCAAAAGATGTGCCAGGCATCAAGATACCTGCTGCCATTGCTGCCTGCTTAGTGCTCACCAGCTACGAGCTAGATCTGTTGTCTCCAGGTACGAATGGAAAATCAGGTTTATAAAGATTTTAAGATTATACAGCTAATAGACAGTAGATTCCTGATATGATTCCAGAAAAGCCTAATTCAAAACCTTCTATTAATCCTTCAACTAAATCTCAGGACCTTCCTTCTGGGACTCACAGTCCAGGGGAGTGAAGTAGGTCACCTCACTGCCATCTTCACAGCCGGTCCTCAGTGGGTCCTGGGAGGGAGACAGGTGTCAGGACCCACAGTGACAGATGGGGGAACACGGAGAACGCAGTGGGCTCAGCCTAGTCACCTGCTGCTGAGGGGACTCTCAGGGTCAGAACCCCAAGTCCTGGCTTCACCTCCTCACTCTTGAGTTCCCTTCTCAGCCCCTGGGTTGCCTGGGCCAGCCGGGCCCATCGTCTAGGTCCAGTGGTGATGATGACCATGGGATGAGCCTGGAAGCGGGGACTTGGGCAGTCTCCTCTTGGATCCTGAGCTGACTTCCCCCAACTCTTCCTTAACCTTCCCTCTCCCTCCATGCTAAACAGTCTCTTGGAAGTTGGCGGCCAGGCCTTGGGCTCTGCTGTGTCCTAACCTGCTGCAGAAAGCCTGGTTCCAGAGCAGGAAGCAGGAGCCTGAGGGGCTTCTGGGGACCTGCCCTGCTGACTCACTGGGAGCTCTTGCTCCCCTTGGGACTTCCTCCCACGGAGTGAGGGAGCTAGTTCAGGCATTGGTGTCCCTGGGCTCCTTCCTACTGCTGAGCCCCAGTCAGGGCCTCCCAGCACACAGGCATCCTTATTCACATTACATTCACCTTCTCAGGCCCACTTCTCCCTGATTTATTCATTTAGTCCATTCTCATCCCTGTTGAGAAGCCTCCCAAGAAGAATACACAAGACACTTTGGGCAGGGGAACTGAGACTTAATTCCCTCTTAAAGTCCAACTGTAGCTTTTAAATTTTGAACCATGTCAAAAATACTTAAAATTAGTTTTTTAGTATTTAGAGTTAATTCTCCTTTTGTTCAATTCTCAGCCTCAGTTTCAGAGGCTGAGCTATTTATAATCTTAAGCTCCTGGAACACAAATACCTCCAATTTTTTGCAAGGTCCTGCTCTTGTTGTATTTATTTTCCTCTAATCTCCATCCCCATTCCATTCTTCACAAAAAGCATCAGTTTCTTCTGTTTATATGAATACATTCTTGCAAATGTGAGTAGTTATTTTGGTCCATGTGCTGTTGACATTTTTTTATATAGCTCAAACTTACAGAAATATACAGCAAACAAAAATGTATGTACAGCCCAGTAACTTATTTCTACAACTTATAACCTTCCTTAGATCAAAAAAGAAAACATGTCCCCCAGTCACCACCCCCTCTTCTCTCTTCTCATGAAAACCACCAGCCAAACTTACATGATTGAAGCTCTCTATTTTCTTTACAGTTTACCATTTAAGCATTTATCTGTATACACTGTAATTTGCCTAATTTCTGAATTTTACATGAATGGAAATAGTTCTCTGTGTTCTGTCTGCCTCCTTTAGATCAATAGTAAATTTTTAAGTTTCATCATGTTAGGATGTCTACTACTGTGGATTTTCACTGCTGTGCAGTATTCTTTTGCATGAAAGTGACCATGATTGTCAAAAATTCTGCTTCAGATACTACAAGCTGTTCACTTTCCTGTCTTCCTTTCAGAGTGGTATCCTGCTCAGGTGACCAGAGATTTTGACCTGTGACCTCATGTTCCCTTGGTGTAGCAGCCTCCCTGTCTGATGACTTGTATGCCAGGGGCCCAGGGTAGACCCTGGTTGTATCTGTGCTGTGTTTAAGAAATGAGGAAGGGGGACTTCCCTGGTGGTCCAGTGGCTAAGACTCCAGGCTCCCAATGCAGGTGGCCCAGGTTCAATCTCTGGTCAGAGAACTAGACCCCACATCTGCACCTAAGATCCTGGTGCAGTCAAATAAACAAATATTTTTTAAAGAAGAGGTGAGCCTCAGGACACAGAGCCCAGATCCTGGGGACCAACTCTGGATCAGTCCTGTTCACTGTCAAAGACAGCAGTGTTTTCAACCATTCACAGCAACCTAGTCACACCCCAGCATCTCCCGTGTCACTCACCACCACCAGAAAGGCTATAGGGAATCTTCCAGTGTCTTAACCAAAAATGCCTTTTGGTTAAGCCCAAGCGCTGCTCATCCAAGTGAAATCTAGTTTAAGTCATTTGTAAGGTTTTGGGTCTCCAGAAAGGAAGATTGCTCTATTCACCCATCCAGGCATTGAGGAATACTAGCTTCTAATAAAAGAGCCACTATTTGAGATCAAGCAGGGAGCTAGTGATTTAGTTTCCTAAAGTAGAAGCTTAGATTATTGTTCCCCTGTGTCAGTGGGCAGCCTAGTAGGCTGGAGCATTGAGCATGGGAAGCCAAGGGGCAGACTCAAATCACTAGCCTGACACAGAGCCACAGAGGAGGAGGAAGACCCATGGCAAGTATGGATCTGAGCAAAAGAACGGGATCTTCCGTGAGGCTCAGAGCTGGGCTGGTGCCTCCAGCAAGGAACCCTGGCTATGTTCTACCCACCAACCTCCCAGAGCATAGCAGCTCTGCTCAGAATTTCCCATCAGAACCCCAGGACCTACCTGTGCACACTGAACCCAGGCTAACTCATCCCGAACTTTTGCTCCATCACAAGCTCCATGGGGCTAGAGTAAAAGGAATGGGAGACAGTGGGTTAGAACAGAGATAAAGGGTTTGCTGAGCTCCAGAAACTGTGGCTTTGGGTGTCTGGAAAGGAAGACTGTTTTTATGCACCCATCCAGACACTAGCAGAAATAATAGCTAATAGTACAAGAACTCCCATTTATGAACAATCTGTACCAAGTACTATGCTAATGATTGAATTCCCTAAAATGCAAACTTAGATTATTAATTTTAGATGCTCCTTTTCTGATACACATATTCAAAGATAAAAATTACCGTCTAAGCACTGCTTTTGCTGCATTCCAAAATGAAAAGTTTTTATAAGTTGT